AAGGCATTTTTTATTACCCTTAAATTACAATATGGCTTGTGTAGCAGTTATAGAAAATAAATAAATACAGCATACAGTCAGGTCCATAAATATTGGGACATCGACACAATTCTAACATTTTTGGCTCTATACACCACCACAATGGATTTGAAATGAAACAAACAAGATGTGCTTTAACTGCAGACTGTCAGCTTTAATTTGAGGGTATTTACATCCAAATCAGGTGAACGGTGTAGGAATTACAACAGTTTGCATATGTGCCTCACACTTGTTAAGGGGCCAAAAGTAATGGGACAGAATAATAATCATAAATCAAACTTTCACTTTTTAATACTTGGTTGCAAATCTTTTGCAGTCAATTACAGCCTGAAGTGTGGAACGCATAGACATCACCAGACGCTGGGTTTCATCCCTGGTGATGCTCTGCCAGGCCTCTACTGCAACTGTCTTCAGTTCCTGCTTGTTCTTGGGGCATTTTCCCTTCAGTTTTGTCTTCAGCAAGTGAAATGCATGCTCAATCGGATTCAGGTCAGGTGATTGACTTGGCCATTGCATAACATTCCACTTCTTTCCCTTAAAAAACTCTTTGGTTGCTTTTGCAGTATGTTTTGGGTCATTGTCCATCTGCACTGTGAAGCGGTGTCCAATGAGTTGTGAAGCATTTGGCTGAATATGAGCAGATAATATTGCCCGAAACACTTCAGAATTCATCCTGCTGCTTTTGTCAGCAGTCACATCATCAATAAATACAAGAGAACCAGTTCCATTGGCAGCCATACATGCCCAGCCCATGACACTACCACCATCATGCTTCACTGATGAGGTGGTATGCTTAGGATCATGAGCAGTTCCTTTCCTTCTCCATACTCTTCTCTTCCCATCACTCTGGTACAAGTTGATCTTGGTCTCATCTGTCCATAGGATGTTGTTCCAGAACTGTGAAGGCTTTTTTAGATGTCGTTTGGCAAACTCTAATCTGGCCTTCCTGTTTTTCAGGCTCACCAATGGTTTACATCTTGTAGTGAACCCTCTGTATTCACTTTGGTGAAGTCTTCTCTTGATTGTTGACTTTGACACACATACACCTACCTCCTGGAGAGTGTTCTTGATCTGGCCAACTGTTGTGAAGGGTGTTTTCTTCACCAGGGAAAGAATTCTTCGGTCATCCACCACAGTTGTTTTCCGTGGTCTTCCGGGTCTTTTGGTGTTGCTGAGCTCACCGGTGCGTTCCTTCTTTTTAAGAATGTTCCAAACAGTTGTTTTGGCCACACCTAATGTTTTTGCTATCTCTCTGATGGGTTTGTTTTGTTTTTTTCAGCCTAATGATGGCTTGCTTCACTGATAGTGACAGCTCTTTGGATCTCATCTTGAGAGTTGACAGCAACAGATTCCAAATGCAAATAACACACTTGAAATGAACTCTGGACCTTTTATCTGCTCATTGTAATTGGGATAATGAGGGAATAACACACACCTAGTCATGGAACAGCTGAGAAGCAAATTGTCCCATTACTTTTGGTCCCTTAACAAGTGGGAGGCACATATGCAAACTGTTGTAATTCCTACACCGTTCACCTGATTTGGATGTAAATACCCTCAAATTAAAGCTGACAGTCTGCAGTTAAAGCACATCTTATTCGTTTAATTTCAAATCCATTATAGTGGTGTATAGAGCCAAAAATGTTAGAATTGTGTCGATGTCCCAATATTTATGGACCTGACTGTATATGCTTATTATTCCATGAAGGGGGAATCGCCCTTCAGGTAGGAACAAATTCTATGGGAAATTTATATCTATCTATATCGTGTTTCCCCGAAAATAAGACACTGTCTTATATTTTTTTTGGCTCAAAAAAACACACTCGGTCTTGTTTTTGTGGTAAGTCTTATTTTTTTTAATGTTCAGGTGTGGACAGGGGGTGCAGAGGTGATCTGCAGGCAGTTGTGGATGAGGGTTACTATAGAGAAGGCCAGCTGATGACCGTTGTGAGTTGCAGTCAGGTGTTGCAGAGGTTAATTGACAGGTGAGTTTCAGACAGGGTGCATAGATAAGCCACAGACAAGGTGCAGGGGTGAGTTGCAGACAGGGGATGCAGAGCTGAGCTGCGGCTGGGGGGTGAAGAGGCAGGCTGTGGACAAGGGGTGCAGAGGTGGGTTGCAACTCGGCTCACCTCTGCACCCCAGCTGAAGCTCACATTTGCACCCTGTCAATTTACCTTTGCAACACCTGACTGCAGCTCACCTTTGGACATCCCCTCCTGCCCCTCCACTGCCTCATAAGGTTAGCTAGCTTTGCAAAACAAAGCTGTCAGCAGCCGGCCCCTCTCTATAGTAACTCCCGTTTTGAGTCCTATCTTCACACATAGTGCACCAAGCGCACTCACCGCTCTGCCTCTTCCCCACTGGCCGGCGATCACCCCTGGGGCATTTGTTTCCATGCATTAGGCTGCAGGATGAGATTCCCCGCCCTGCCACTAAGCACACTACGCCTGCAGAAATCTGTTCCTTGGGTGCTTTCACTTACAAGAGGCAAACACAAAAGCCACTCTTCTGTATTTATATGAGACAGTAGATATTGGTGTGCACAGGGCCAGTGGCGGAACAGCGCTCCACCACGTTCCGGCTGAAAGAAAACCCTGATTACAATTAGGTCTTATGTTCGGGGGAAACTAATAGATATCTATATCTATCAGGGGCGGACTGACAACCCATGGGGCCCCCGGGCAATAGGGGATCATGGGGCCCCTGTGTCCTTGCTCAAACTCAAAAAAGCCTATGAAAAAGGTACCAGGGGCATCTCATGGGGCCCCCTACTGACCTCGGGCAGTGCCCGAGTTTCCAAATGGTCAGTCCGCCCCCTGATATATATATATATATATATATATATATATATATATATATATATATATATATATATATATATATATATATATATATATAAAAATTTTTTTTTTTTTTATTTTTTTTTACTGGTCAAGTTGCTTTTACTGACATCATAGGCAAATCAAAGGCCGTCCCTTTGATCTGCAGATGGATGAAACCCTGTAAATACAACAGTAACAATGTTACATTGTACCTCCTGAATTGTGTCAGAAAAGTTATTGACTGCTACTGCTGTGTTTACACAGCAGCTCCCAGCTTTTAACAGAGAACTTTCCATCAACTGCAAGGGGATAAGGCACCAGCATGTAAGAGTATGCTTCAGTAAAAGAACAGAACAGTGTGGGTGAATTGCACAAGGTGGGGATGTGTTGTATTTAAATTATGTTGATACAAATCCAGCCAAATCCCTGGATAGAATGAACAGATTAAATAAATTGTTAAGCAATTATACAAAAATTGTCAATTTCCAGGAAAATGGAGTACCATTATCTAGACCCAATCATCTTAAATAGCAAGGTCAACCAAGAGGAAGACAGGCTGTCAGTCAAAACAAGCCCACAATAATTCCAAATACAGTGGATGAAACTGGCATGCATTAGGATGTATCAACACGGTTTAATCATTCCCACATTGTACTTGTAGTCCATACATTTGTGAACGCAGTCATAGATCCATCAGAGCAGACTATAGCACACATTGAAAGCACAAAGTGTCAAGTTTATGACTTGGAAGTACATAAATTGGAACTGCACTGCATCTGAGCAACACACAGACCAAAAATGCTATTTAATTAATTGTTAATATTCAAAGCAAACTGCCCCATCCATCCATTTCTACATGGTTTATTTAGCTGAGAATTCATTTTGAAAAATTCCTCCCTGGCATTTCTGGCAATGGCCATCTTGAGTAAGGACAGATGATTTGTGTAGCATTTACTTTCTGGAACCCATCAGTCTTTAGCTCAGGAATTGACTGAACTGAGAACCCTCCCTCCTGAAATGTATGACATCATTTTGCCTAGGCATGGAAACTAGGAGGTAACTGAAGAAATAAAAAAGAAAAAAAAGAAAAAAAAGTTTAAAATAAGTAAATATGATATTCTTTTTTATCTGTTTACTAGTGCTGGCAGCATAAAGATTAAAAATAGTGTTGATTGAGAGTGAAGTTCCACTTTAATCACTCAAACAAAAACAGGCCTTTTACGAGTAAGCCCAATGTGAGTGAAACATGTCACAGGGGTGTGGCCAATGGTCAGGGATCTGAACTGAAGCCTGTCTTTCATTTACCTTACATTGGAGTAAAATACAGTGTGTGGCAGTATTTGCATGCCATATCTAAGCTGCTGATTGTTGCTGTAGTTTGTTGCTGCATACTATGCAAGGTTCTTTGAATAATGTTCTGTTTTTTTTTGTTCATTGTAGTATCTGACACTGACAACAATGATGAATTACATCTCAGAAAAGAACATGCGCTTAAGATATTCGCTTATATTAATTCCTGGACACAAAGGTAATTATTCTCATATTTCAATTGTTAATTCCACCTTTTTTTTTCCTCTTCTTTATTATGTGTGGTTGAATTTTCCACTTTCACTAATATCCCAGCCAACTGTTAAGATGGCCATAGATGATTTGTTTTGTCTTCATATGAAAAGAAGATTTTTTTTAAATCAAACCGGTATTACGAATCAAGATTTTTTTTTTTTAAGCCCCTTTTCGGGTGTTACCTGGAAAATTAAAAATAGCATTGTTAAACATAGTGTTGTGTATCAGTTTCTGTGTGCAAATGTTTTGTTCATTATGAACTTGCATATACATACAGATTAATGGTTTTAACTTGCAATTTGTCCTGTAGACACTATTTGCAGTTTATATGCAAAATTTGGTAACTGTGTTTGTCACTTTCACATCTTTTGCTATCCAGTTAATCTCCCTGAGTTTTTTCCCAGGAATTTGTGCATAGTGATGGACGAGAGTCTGAACTTTTGGCTTAGCACTGATTTAAAAAAAAAAAAAAAAAAAAAAAGGCTTCTTCCATTGTGTAAGAATGTGCTTTTCCTTGCAGGTGTTTGTTTTTTTGGGCTTGTATTTATGCTGAAATGTTTTTTTTTCTCCTCCAGACAGTGTCTATGCTGCTTTAAGGAGTATAAACATTTGGAGATCTTTAACCAAGTGGTGTGTTCCCTTATAAATTTGGTGATTGGCCAAGTCCAAGCCCTGAGGGACCAGCTTTTAAAAATTTGCACTACTAGCCCTGATTCAAACTGGCAGGATGAGGCCAACCCATCCGATGAGCTGCTGAATGTGGAGAAAGAGACTCAGGAGGAGGAGGAGGAGGAAGGGGAGGAGAGGAGCTCAGAACCATGTAAAGTCCCCGACAAACAACTAGAAAGTGGAAGAACTTGCAATGTAACAGAAGACTCTCTAAAAAGCACTGACCTGTATAGTTTATGGAGTACTGAAGAAAAAGAAAAACTGTTGTTGTGTGTTGCAAAAATCTTTCAGATACAATTTCCTCTTTACACAGCCTACAAGCATAACACGCATCCCACTATAGAGGTATTTCCAATTATTGTTCTCATTGCTGGTTTTTAAAAGAGAGGATGGTCCAGATAAAGACATTTGTTTGGCATCTTGCTTACCCCGGTACTTGCTTTGTATATCCATTGATTAAGCCCAGAGGGTATTTATGGCAATTGGGCAGACTATGAGCAAATTCAGATTACCCTGTCATTGTATAAGAAAAGTTGTCTCTGCTTACTTTCTAATCTCACTTCTACAGTGGTTTTTTTTTTTTTTATTTTAAACTATACATCTGAATACTACAGATGTGGCTAAACCTTTGTCTGTCGTATGACAAGTCTATTCTAACTTCCATCTGAGCCATAACTAGTTTGTTAGATTTACTCTATATCCATTTACTGCATGTAGCTATTATTTTAAAGTGTATCTCTGGTCAAGACTTTTTTTTTTTCCTTAGTTTTGTGAAGAATATGGAAATGTTGGAACCCCTGTTCAGTAAGGTTTATACTGTTGTTTATGTCCACACAATGTAGATTTACCTTTTGTTTGTCCAAGTGATGAGTTTCACTGGACAGTAAGTGGATTGAAATTTTATAATTTTACATTCACCAAGAGAAACGAGGGGAAATCCTTCCATGTGGAATGTGTTCCAGTTACACCTAGGAGGGGATGTTCCCTTATTTTAAAGAGATTTCCTCTCTACTCTTGTGTCTCAGGGACAGGAAGAGACCCCAACAACAATAAAATGACATGGGGTTTTACTATTTCCTACTCTATCCTAAACTAAAGAACAAACCTGTTTTAGGTAAGGATAGACTTTACAGTGGAATTCCAGGCTATTACGAAGTATGCCTAAACCTGCTCCAGCCCCCCCCCTAACTCCTAACTACCGTGTGAAAGGAAGATGCATATACTTACCTATTCTCAGAGCACTCCAGTCTTCTCACATGATCTCCTCTGTGCCCCACCTCAGGGAAGAGGAGAGAGCAGTGACAACGGCTGGAATGCCTGGGCAATCACATCACCCATAGGCTTACTATAGGGCATCTGTTGTTGGCCGTCCCTTCTCTTCCCTTAAGCCACTGCTGGGAGTTTATAATGTGACCGGACTGGAGCACTGAGCCTGAAAACAGTTAAGTATAAGCACCTTCTTTTCACAATGTAGTTAGTATAGGAGTTTGAAAGGAAGGTGAGAGTAGGTTTAAGCATAGTTAGTAATGAGAAATATGCTAAGGTCTATTTAGAAATTATTTGCACAACTTTCACCCAGGTTTTTACAGACTTCCAGTTAGAAAAAAAGTGTTAATCTTGTGTGGAAACATTTAGAAATGGATCCCCAAGTATCTGCAAGATTGCAATACTTAACCAAAATGCAGTTTCAGAGAAACAACCAGCCATGTCAGGACTTTCAGAGTGGCCAAATATGACAGTTCTCTAGCAATTGTAACCACTTTCAACCAGCGTTTGATCATAAATACCAATTAATCTATCATGGTAACCAAAACCATTAGCCATAAAATTGACTACTGACTGGTAAAGTAAACAACACTGATTATCTTGTTACAATGGCGCCTGAAAGTGGATGGGATGTGTGGTGAAAGCAGAAAAAATGCTCAAGTGTAAGGATTTGAGTGACAAGAGCCAAATTGTAATAGACAACTGCATCAAAGCATTTCCAAAACTGCAGCTCATGTGGGATGTTCTCGGTCTGCAGTGGTCAGGACCTACCAAAAGTGGTCCAAGGAAGGAAAGCTGGCAAACTGGTGACATGGTCATGGGCAGCCAAGGCTCATTGGTCAACGTGGGGAGCGAAGGCTGGCTTGTGCCAACCGATCCAATAGAAGAGTTACTGTAACTCAAGCTGCTGAAAAAGTGAATGCTGGTTTTGATAGAAATGTTTCAGAACACACAGCGCACCACAGTTTTTTTACATATGGAGCTGCATAGCTGCAGACTGGTTAGGGTGCCCATGTTGATGTGTGTCTACAGCCAAAAGCACCTGCAATGGGCACATGAGCATCAGAACTGGAACACGAAGCAATGGAAGAAGGTGGTCTGGTCTGATGAATTAAGTTTTCATTTAAATAATGTGGATGGCTTGGTGCGTGTGCTTCAAGATGGTACCAGGATTCACTTTGGGAACAAGGCAAGCCAGTGGAGGCTTAAAGAATCTGCTACTGATGGTTGTGTGCCCGACACCACAGTGGAGTCAAAGCCTTGACGAGCCAGGTCTGTTTTGGCATCAGAAGGTTGCCATTTTATCTTTATTTTATTGAAATATGGTTCACATTGCTAGAGAATGTCTTTGTCCAGCATTATTATTGGGCTTCATCGCCAGAAAGGCCACTTTCTGGAGTGTCTTTGTCAGTGTTGAACCCAGACAAAATATTTTTGGATAGTCAGGCTCAGCGTTGCATGTTTTGTCTCTTTTCCATTGTAAGGAAATTGGTTAAAGGCTTGATAATGTCAAGTAACTTTAATAGTGCCTCATTTCATCTTGTTTCTTCTAGAATAATTCTTTATGGGCTCATGTACAGTGTTTTTTTTTTTTTTTTTTTCTTTTTTCCCCTCCTCATACAGGCCCATTTGAAATGCATCTGAAAGTATATTGTATTTGCAGGCCATGTTGGTCCTTAGATATTAGCCTATATGTTTTACTGCAATTAAAATGTTATGACAGTTTTCTGACAGTCATATGGAGTACTTTACTTAAAGATGTGTTATGGGCATTGTGTTAATTTTGCCTCTTCAGTTTCCTTTTATAAAAGTTGTGTTTTAGGTCTTTAAATTATTAAATAAAATGTATTCTAAATATGTTCGTAGGAGCTGTAATTATTTTCATGTTAACCCCACTTAATATTAATGTGCTTTTCACATCGCTTCTGAAGTTTTTTTGTTTGTTTTGTTTTTTTTTTTTCTCTTGCTCTCCCAGGATATTTCAGCTCAAGAAAGCAATCTTTTAGGAGCCTTTTGTGACATGAATGTAAGTGTGAAAAACTGAAGATTTGTACAGATGTGTGAAGTCTGTGTTCATGTGATTTTCAATACCATGGATTTGATTTAAAAAGCTGTCACTCTCCATATATTAGCTGTATTAATTTTCAGATTTTTTTTTCAGCTCAAAAATTTAAATATTGCCCAGTAATTCTTTCTGCCCGAGCATGTGCAGTTTTGAAGTTTCCAGGCAGACTTCTCCAGAACGTATTGTGCACTCTCCAATCTTCTGGTTGGGCAGTGCTTGCACAGAGTATTTCACAGGGAAGAGGTCATAAGGGACATCACCGCCACAGGAGGGAGGATTTGTCTCATCATCCTTGACTTCAGGGCTGTGCGTTTGCATAGACACATACAGTGTTAGGAGAACACTGCTATAGTCTGGGCAAGGAGAGCACACACAAGGGTGGCTCCACAGGACCCTGCAAGGAATGGGTGTTTTTTTTTGTTTGTTTTTTTTCAGCAGTCAGGATACTGGCCTAAAGTGGAACAAAGGTAAGGATTGCAAGATGGAACAGGCTGCATAGTAAGAGTGTAGCATTATCACACAGTCTAGACTCTGGGGGGTTTATTTACTAAAGCCGGTTCACTCAGAATCTTGTGCAATTCTGCATAGAAACCAATCAGCGTACAGGTTTTATTGCTAAAGCTTAATTGAACAAGCTGAGGTTAGAAGCTTATTGGCTACCATGCACGGGATTCTGAGTGAACCAGCTTTAGCAAATAAACCCCACTGTGTAATGCTTCGTAGATTGGTAGTCGCACATCTAATATATGCAGTGATTAAAGAAGATTTATCAATTTTTTTTCTTACTGTTCTATGAAAGTGGGACAAAGTACATGTTGCTAGGTGCATTTTAAGTCTAGTTGTTAGGTCCGATCTGTGCTTCTCAATGTGAGGAGGGAAACTGCAGTTGGACGTTAACCGATTGCCAGCCGAGCACTGTAACTTTACTGCTACAGTGTAGGCTGACTGTGCAAAATTTTGTGTGTATAAAATTTCATATACGGGTGCATTTAAATAAATTAGAATATCATCAAAAAGTTAATTTAGTTCAGTAATTCAGATCAAAAAGTAAAACTCATATATTATATAGATTCATTACACACAGAGCGATATATTTCAAGCTTTTCTTTCTTTTAATGTTGATGGTTAAGGCTTACAGCTAGTGAAAACCCAAAATTCAGTATCTCAGAAAATTAGAATATTGTGAAGACGTTCAATATTGGTAGACTCATGGGGGTTTATTTACTAAACCTGGTTGACTCAGAATCTTGGGCACCTGTGCATGGCAACCAATCAGCTTCTAACCTCAGCATGTTCAGTTAAGCTTCAGCAATAAAACCTGGAAGCTGATTGGTTTTTATGCAGAAGTGGACAAGATTCTGAGTCAACCAGGTTTAGTAAATAAACCCAATGGTGTCACACTCTAATCAGCTAATTAACTAAAAACACCTGTAAAGGGTTCCTGAGCTTTTAAATGGTCCCTCGGTCTGGTTCAGGAGGTTACACAATCATGGGGAAGACTGCTGACTTGACAGCTGTACAGAAGACATTCATTGACACCCTCCACAAGGAAGGTAAGTCACAAAAAGTCATTGCTAAAGAAGCTGGCTGTTCAGACTGCTGTATCCAAGCATATTAATGGAAAGTTGAGTGTAAGGAAAAGGTGTGGCAGAAAAAGGTGTACAGGCAACAGGGACAACCATAGCCTTGAGAGGATTGTGAAGCAAAGGCCATTCAAGAATTTGGGGGAGATTCACAAAGAGTAAACTACGGCTGGTATCAGTGTTTCAAGACCCACCACACACAGACGTATCCAGGACATGGGCTACAACTGTTGCATTCCTTGTGTCAAGCCACTCTTGAACCAGACACAACGTCAGAAATGTCTTACCTAGGCTAAGGAGAAAAAGGATCGGACTACTGCTCAGTGGCCCAAAGTTCTTTTTTTTGGATGAAAGTAAATTTTGCATTTCATTTGGAAATCAAGGTCCCAGAGTCTGGAGGAAGAGTGGAGAGGCACAGAATCCAAGTTCCATTATCTATACTGGTAGCTTTGTAAGCACTATAACTTTCATGTAAACCAATTAATTTACATGTATTGGGGTTTTTTTTTTTTTTTTTTTTTTTTTTTTTTTTTTTTTTTTTAGCAAAGACATGTAGCAGAATAAATTTTGGTGGAGATGCTTTGAGTACATCCTAATTCAAGTCAATGGGGGGCTCATTGGGTGCTGGCATAACCAATTTTGGAAAAAGTTTTTCTCTCAGAAGATGTAAACCAGCGAGACTGCCATGACTGCTATGCTGAGATAAATAGATGGTTGGGGGGTTTTAGGTTAGTTCAGTTCGGGAGTCTAGGGAATGTGGACTAGTACACATTTTTTACTAAAAGTGTACTTGCCTTTTAACTGAGAAGTTACTTGCTTCAGCATGTGGAAACAAGGATTTTTTTTTTATTTATTTTTTTTTTTATAGAATAAAAAATTATTATCCATATAAATGGCTGAAAGAATTATTTATAACTACTGGGGTGTGATTTACAGACTTTGACGTTTCCTCTGAAATTGAGACTGCTGCTTCCCTTTTCATGACCACCATTCTGCATTGAGCACATAAACACAACACATCTGTTTGTGATGAATTATTTGTTTTCAATTTTGTTTTTAGGACGTGGAAGTCCCCTTGCACCTTCTCCGTTACGTGTGTCTGTTCTGTGGGAAAAATGGCCTTTCTCTCATGAAGGATTGCTTTGAGTATGGGACCCCCGAGACTCTTCCCTTTCTAATAGCTCATGCATTCATCACCGTTGTGTCCAATGTAAGTTGCTATTCTAACATGTTTGGAACATTGGAAATCAAAGTTGCCAATGTGTGAAAGAATACTGCGTTTTATGACGGCTTGCATTCTGCTGAGTTCTATCTCATATTTAGTGGTAAACATTTTGTATGTTAAAAAAGCAAACCAGCAATAAAGGAATTTAATTTTAATAGCTGCAATCTGTATCTGAAACTAACGTCAGCAGGTTTGCCTGAGTTTATGCCTTTAATGGTAGCTTACTATCTGCATAGATTATATGGGATAGTATTGAACTTGGAGTGTCTGCACCAACACATATGTATTGTGTCCAAGCTCACATAAAAGTTTACCTTATTGTTTATCATAAATGTAGACTGAGTGCCATAGTTTTGAAGCATGTAAACATCACTGTAACTGGATATGTAGGCTTTGGTGTGTGAATGCTGAGTGGTATACATTAGTCAGCTTTGAAAAATATACATGTTCATGAAAAGGGCAACTACATGTTAATAATTGTGGTTTGTTTTTTTTTTTTCCTTTTGTAGATCAGAATATGGTTACACATCCCTGCTGTTATGCAGCATATTATACCTTTTAGGACCTATGTTATAAGGTAAGATAATATGTTATACATATCCTAATAAGTGATTTTTGAAAGTATATCACTGTATATTTCTACTAGTAGATGACAAACATTTTCAGTCTCTGCTCTAATATGCAACAGCTCCAATCTATAAGTTGATCGGAGCAGAGCGGGACAGATGTCACCGTTTCTGCCGAGTGGACACTGACAGACCTTGCTGTGCTCTGTGGGCAGCCGGGTGTACATAAGCTTGACTGTCCGTTTGCATTAGGCTACCTCTGATCTGGTCCGCTCGCAAAAACGGAAAAGGACATTGTCCTTTGCTGTTCTTTTAGCGGACCTGAATGAACCTAGGGGTAGGCCATAGGGTTAAATGGAGCTTCTGATCAGGTCCACCTGAAAAACTGATAGCCAGACCCGATGAGCACAGAAAAGACATTTGTGGTTATGTCATTATAACTGTTATGTTATATTTGTCTGACCTTCAAGCCCTCTTTAATGAAAATGTAAGCAAGTGACTGAATGATCAAAAGCAAGTCAAACTGCCAAAACACTCAATTTCAGATGGGGTTGAATAATTTTGGACACAATGTATCCTAATAATGATTTTTGGAAAGTATATCACTGTATATTTTCTACGGTACCGATGTCACCGTTTCGCCGAGTGGACACTGAACAGACCTGCTGTGCTCTGTGGCAGCCGGTGTAATAAAGCTTTGACTGTCCGTTGCTTAGGCTCACCTCTGATCTGGTCCGCTAAAAACCGGAAAAGGACATTGTCCTTTGCTGTTCTTTTAGCGGACCTCGAATGAACCAACATAGGGTTAAATGAGGCATCCAAGTAAAAGAGGCCCAAGATTTGCCTTTTAGACACTGTAGTTATATCCAGTTCAAATCCGTACATAGGGCTTAGGGCCAATTCACAGTGACTTGCGCTAAAATGTATAGAAAATTTACATTTTCTTCCACTTTAGTCATGTGCATACATTTTGATGTCACTTGACATGCATTTTAGTGCGCCTTGAAGCGCACTGTGTTTTCACAGGGTATCCTGTGCATTGCGTTGACATCCGCTTATATCCGTTGTGCTGTGCTAAAATGCATACATCTTGCATTTTAGCGCAACGCAGGTCAATGCTGCGTTAGTGTGAATAGGACACGTTGGGGAATTTTTGTTTTTCAGATGACCTTCTGTTGATCTGCCCTTTACGCTAAAATGCAGATCAACGCGCATGTGTGAATTGACCCTAAAACACTTCATGTCAGTTCATCTGATAAAGTTACTTTGGGGCTGCTTTTGACTTTGGATGGAAGGAGCAAGGTAGAAAATTGTTGACCGTACAGTGATTTCACCCAGTGAGATGTAGACAGTGCTGGGGTATTTAGCAGCTGTGGGTCCCATTGATGAGGTTAACAAGTGAAATTTAGAGATATATTGCTGGTGTAAGGAATAAACTCTCAAACTAGACTTTGAAAGCAAAAAAATTATTTGTATTAGTAGTATGAGCAAGGTTTAGATTCTGTCAGAGGTGTTTTTTTTCTCCTCTAGACTGATATGTTTAGTTTACAGGTGCTATTTTCTTTTCTTCCAGTATTTGTGCAAGCTGTCTGACCAGGAGCTGCGGCAGAGTGCGGCTAGGAACATGGCTGACCTCATGTGGAGCACTGTGAAAGAGCCTCTGGACACAGCTTTGTGCTTTGATAAAGAGAGCCTTGACTTGGCTTTCAAATATTTTATGTCACCCACACTAACAATGAGGCTTGCTGGCTTGAGTCAGATAACGGTAGGTGTTTGCCATATTTCCATGGTAACCTTTTTTAGTAAAAACCGATCTGGTGTTTATTTTTATTGATTAGACAGGATTGAAAAAAAATCACTTTTAAAACACCTTTAAAATTCAGTTAAGAAACCAGTGTATTTGTTTTGTATTGATGGTTCTTTTTTTTTTTACGTTTATAAAATATGCATATTATAAAAATGTATTGTAATATTGCAAAGCTCAGAGATGGACAGGCATTATGTTTGCCGTTTTTTTGGGCTTGATCTCCAGAAAACTGCCTGTATTTTCTGTAGGTATTAATCAGCTTTTCACTTTTAAGCTCCATTCACACTAGAGTTTGTTTTAGCTCCAAAAAAGTTGAAAAAATGCTGGTATTAGTGGTTTTTAATAGTGTTTAGGAGTGTTAGCATTTTATTAGTGTTTTTACAGTACATATAGGGAAAAAAGTCGTTTAGGAGAGTTTTAGTAGTGTTTAGGAGCATTTAGTATTTTTTTTTTCGCTGGAAATACGCTTCCAAAACGACAAAAACCTTTTTATTTTCTGCGTCTAAATGCTGAAGCTTGAAAACGCTACTAGACTAAAATAGTGTGCATGGACACATAGGATACTACTATTTGGCTTCTAGGAAAAAAAATGCTGATAACAGCTTGCAGGAACTTAAAAAAACACTAGTGTGCATGGAGCCTCGTACCTCTTGGAGACCTTGGCAGCCTTTCTGAATTCTCCCTTTTACCTTCTATGTGTAATATAGATAGCTCTTCTTTCTGATACTTCATGGTTCAGTTGTGTTCTAACATTTCCCTATGATTTGTTGAATTAATATGGTGTGTACCCCACAATTTCTGTCTTTCTCTGTTGTGTTAGCTATTTCATTTTGTTTTGCTTTTCTTTAATATTGATGTTCTTTTATATAGAATCAACTTCATACTTTTAATGATGTTTGCAACAATGAGTCCTTGGTATCTGATACAGAGACGTAAGTGCATTTTAATTGCTTTGGACTATATACTTGTACATACCTTTTTATAGGTTTTTAAAGCGGAGTTCCACTCACCATGTAAAAAAAATAAAGGTCAGCAGCTACAAAAACTGTAGTGGCTGTACAAAAAACAGCCACTCACCTGTCCCGCGGTGCCCCCGCCGTAGCCTGTTTTCCAGGAGGCCGGCATCTCCAGTGTGGGCACCCGGCTGTGACAGCTTGCGACTTCATAGCCGGGCGCCCACTGCACATGCGCGAGTAGCGCTGCGGTTCCTGAATTGCCCCTTCGTCTTCTGGGACCTGTCACGTGTCCCACAAGACTACAGGGAGGGGGAGGGTAGGAGGACAAATACCGCTTACGATCGCAGTGGGAGCGGGTACCTGTCAATTTCGGGTTCCCGCTCCCCAAAGGTGCCAATCCTTAATAGGGAGAGCGGGGTACCAATCATTAAAGCGGAACTTCCCCTTTTGGGTGGAACTCCGCTTTAAGAACTGCAAGGTTGTCTAATTTATATTTGTTCCCTAGTTACCGAAATCGGGAAAGTTTTTATATCAGGTTGTTTCATCCAAAATATTAAACATTTTCTGTAATGCTATTTACCGTACTCCACAGTCAACTTAAAGTGGTTGTAAATCTTTACATATACCCAGTGAAGTGAGTGGTCTTGTGTAATACACAGAGAAGAAACCAATCATCCTGCATAGGTTGTACCGGTATATATACAGTGGCCATTCCCCCACATCCTTTTAAAGTGCAGAATTTACACAGGATCTCTCAGAATTTACACAGGATCTCACAGGGTGTGTGCCCTCCCGTTACCATTTTTCTCTTGGTGTCAGGAAAACTCGTCAGTTTTAGCACTCTGGATTGAAGACTGTAGAGCAGTGGTTCTCAACCTTCCTAATGCCATGACCCTTTAATACAGTTCCTCATGTTGTGGTGACCCCCAACCATAAAATTATTTACCCAGTAATTATAATTCATGAGTGTCGTTTTTCTCCAATACTGCTGCTTTCAACACAGTAGCTGCTTTTAACAGAGTAGCTGCTTTCAACACAGCAGCTGCTTTCTACACAGTAGCTGCTCTTTACACATCGGAAATATGTGTTTTCTGATGGTCTTAGGGGACCCCTGTGAAAGGGTCGTTCGACCCCCAAAGGGGTCGTGACCCACAGGTTGAGAACCACTGCTGTAGAGGGATATACTTTGTTTATATTTTTTGCCTTAGGTTTACAACCACTTTTAAAGTACATAAACTTACCTTTATATGTTAATGTTTTAAAAACATTGTTGAACTCTTCATATCCATGACAATAGTATTATGCTGCCGGCATGGCATCAGGTAATTGGACAGTGGCAAAATGCCAAGAAATCTACACCCAGGCATAATTCCTCCCAGCTAGGCAAGGCTTCAAGCGGTAGTAAACCGCATCCAAAAATGGAAAAAAAAAACCCTACAAGGTAAAGGCATAATGTGCTAGTATGCATTGCATACTAGCACATTATGAAGATCTTGCCTTGAAATGAAGTCTTCCAGCAGAGCGCTGTCACTGCTCCCCGGGGCTTCCATCTTCACCCGGTCTTCCTTCCGGGTTCGCAAGCTCTGACCAGCTGACTGGCTGAGCTGTGATGATGTCATTCCCACACATGCATGCGGAACTCCTGGGCCACGGCACAGTTCTCTGAAGGAACTGCATGGGCATGCCATGCCTTCAGAGCTCATGCGCCAGCTATGAAAAGGGGCTAATCTCTCCTAAACGGTGCACATTTAAGAGATATTAATTGTACCTACAGGTAAGTTTTTATTATAAGCTTACCTATAGGTAAAATTACTAAAGAGTTTACTACTACTTTTAGTTCTTTTACTAGTATTTTAGGTGATGGGTCATGTCTGTGCAGGCGCTGAGCAAAAAGGTACCTAGCTTTTCATTGGTTCCATCTGTAATTAGAAGACTAGCTTTTTCCAGATTAATTTGCTTACAGCTTGTCGACACTCAGAGGAGTGTTACCTGGACCCTGCTCTGGACATGCAAGAACAGCCCGTTACGTTGCTGGTCAGATCCCTGTGGAATGGAACCTTGGGCAACAACCGGTAGAGTGCTATACAGGTCCAGGGCAGTGATGCTCAGTGGTCCCAGAAGACCCTTGCGACATTACCGTCTGCGATGGGTGAAGATTGAACCCCCCTCCTCTAGGGGGGATTCTGCAGCAGACTGGTGGGTGCCCTAGAGTGATCCCTGCTGTTACTATTATAGTAACACCATCACCCGTCCCTCCACTTAGGTGGAAAAGGAATTTTTTTCTTTAACTGTGCATCCTCCCAGACCACCTACATAGCTTTTGAGCAGTCTAGAAGCCTTTTGGAGTCAAATGCAGGATGCAGAAAGTTATTCTTTCCCCCCCTATGTTTACTAGGTTGCATGCACAGTGCAACTGGCGACATCACAAATGGTGTGGAGTATTCTGAGAGCTGCCACGAGAGTGTGACAATGTGGCCTCTCGTGGGACTATTGGTCGCAGCAGAGCTGTGCATTCATTGGCACTGCAGGTCGCTGCATTAGCAGTGCCTTGTCTGCTACAGAGTGCAGTAAACCAATTGTTGGTGAGACTATGAGTCGCAGCAGAGCTTTCCTTGTGGAACTACAGGTTGCAGCAGTGCCTTCCTTGTGGGACTGTAGATTGCAGCAGATCAAATCTGGAGGGATATAGGTCGCAGCAGAGCTCTTCTTGGGACTGTAGGTCGCAGCAGAGCTCTCCTTGTGGGACTGTAGGTAGGTGTAGGTCGCAGCAGAGCTCTCCTTGTTGTAGGTCGCAGCAAAGCTCTCCTTGTTGGGACTGTAGGTCGCAGCAGAGCTCTCCTTGTTGGGACTGTAGGTCGCGCAGCAGAGCTCTCCTTGTTGGGACTGTAGGTCGCAGCAGAGCTCTCCTTGTTGGGACTGTAGGTCGCAGCAGAGCTCTCCTTGTTTGGGGCTGTAGGTCGCAGCAGAGCTCTCCTTGTTGGGACTGTAGGTCGCAGCAGAGCTCTCCTTGTTGGGACTGTAGGTCGCAGCAGAGCTCTCCTTGTTGGGACTGTAGGTCGCAGCAGAGCTCTCCTTGTTGGGACTGTAGGTCGCAGCAGAGCTCTCCTTGTTGGGACTGTAGGTCGCAGCAGAGCTCTCCTTGTTGGGACTGTAGGTCGCAGCAGAGCTCTCCTTGTTGGGACTGTAGTCGCAGCAGCTTGCACTAAAGGAAAGTGACAAATCCAAAATATAACTGTATCAGAGTAGTGAAGCGCATAAACCATATATCAGAAATATATACATAAATGTGAAATAACCAAAGTCCGTAAATAAATAAAATATTATAAATCAAATACATAAATAGTACTCACTAAAGTGCCAAGTCTAATAATGTAACACAATCCTTCTAATAACAGCACATCAGTATAAATACATAAACCGTGCTCTTTAAAGTGCCAAGTGCAATAATATAACAAAAGTCCTTCCAGTGATGGTCTTATAAAGAATCTCTCTAGTGAAAATTCCAGACAATACTGGATCTTACACAAGTGCTGCTCTCCCGTGCAGAGCCCTCCACCACCATGCAATCGCCAGAAGACTACTTGCTTAATAGCCTGTAATCCAACTTGTAGTGAACTTCTGTTTCTCATTCCTCAACGCCACTAATGATACAACCAGGAGCCTAGAAAGAAGCACTCATCATACGGAGCCAGGCGGATAGTATATAGTGTAGTGTTTAATTATAAAATCATCACAATAAAAATATCATGAACTGTTTTCCATGTGGAAAACAAACATTCACGTAGGCTCCACCTGGGAAAGTTGTTCAGAAACCATGAACTTAAATTTGTATACTAACAGAATATAAAGAACCAAATGGCTTCCAGCATTCCCATTTTACATTATGTAGAGATAAGTTCAGGCCTTACAGTTTAATTCTGTGAGCACAGAATAGTTCAAACAGGCCCTGGAGAATGTGGTACTCCCAACATTGTAAACATGTCGGCGTACAACTGTTGGCTCCTGGATTGACCAGACATGTTGCAATCTATATCTTTCTTTATAGCCGCTGGATTTAATGGCATGGCTGTTGAAACCAGGGTTTTTAGAGACAAGGAAGTCTCTGATTCAGTCACTTCTACCACACACTGAAAGCTCAAAAAGTGTCCTTAAAGTGGTAAATTGTTTTTTTTTTTTTTTTTTAATTTTACCTACAGATAAGCTTATAATAAACTTACCTGTAGGTAAAATGAATATCTTCTAAACATGCACTGTTTAGGAGATATTCTCTCGTTCCTAAAGCCGGCGCATGCGCTCTGAAGCAATGGCATACCCATGCCATTCCTTCAGAGCTGTGTGCCGTGGCCCGGGACTCCCTCGCGCATGCACGGGAGTGACGTCATCACAGTCCAGCCTGTCATACGGCTGTAGATTGCAAACCCAGAAGAAGGACCAGGTGAAGATGGTAGCCTCCACAGCGGTGACAGTGTGCTGTTGGAGGGCTTCATTTTAAGCCAAGTTTAACATAATGTGCAGTATGTGATGCATATTAGCACATTATGGCATTACCTTGGAGGGGACTTTTTTTTATTTCTTGGTTTACTACCGCTTTAAGGAAGACTTACTACAGATTCTTCTTTTGCTTGGTGTGAGACTAGAGGATCTCATCCTTGCAAGTCTGTTATGGGTTGCATCCTAGCTTTTCTCCAACCTGGAGTTCAGGGTTGGTCCTTCAATATGATCATGGGTCAGATTTTGGCCTTGGCAATCTTCTTTCAGATAATGATTGCTTCATGGTCCTTGGTACATGTCTTTGTGCAAGGAGTCAAATGCATTGTTTCACTGGTCAGGACTCCTTGGGACCTCCACTTGGTACTTCCTGTATTGCAGAAATCTCAATTTATACACATCCAGGATATTCCGTTAATTCTTCTGACAAAAGGTTTTTTTTCTGGGTTCCATTACTTGGGCCCAAAGAGTTTTGGAATTGGCTGCTCTTTTTTGTAAGGAAACCATTCTGGTGCTCCATTGTGACAAGGAGATTCCATGGCCTCAGCCATCATTTTTACCTAAGGTGGTTTCTTTGTTCCATTTCAACCAGGCCATCGTGTTGCCGTCGTTTTTTTTTTTTATCCTGAGTCTCAGCAGTCGGGGAAAACAAGGCTTTTCAAACTTTGGATATGGTTAAGTTCTGTCATGTGTTACCTGAAGTACAGTGCTGCAATTTGTCAGTGAGATTTCCTCTTTGTGCTTCCTTAATGCCCAAGGAAGGGTCATGCATCTTCCAAATATTTAATTTCTTGATGGATTTGTCTGTTTATTCCTCAAGCCTGCGGTCTAAAGGGCAGTGTTCAAATGTTTTCGGTGACAGCTCATTCTACCAGAAGTGTTGGTGCTTCCTGAGCTATTTGTCATCAGGTTTCGGTAGCTCAAGTTTGTATTGCTTCTACCTGGTCTTTGATTCATACTCTTATGAAGTTTTACCAAGTCGATCTTGGAGCCACTGAAGACACTCTCTTTGGTCGGTGTGTCTTGCAGGCCACTGCGCTAGTTTCTAACCTTTTAAAGTGGTTGTAAACCTCCAGACATGAAATATGAACAAAGCATATCCTTTTATAGTGTGTACTTGTCTTGCTATGAGTCACTTCTGACAGGTTTTTCTGAAACCAAGAGATAAAAAGGTGACGGGAGGCAGCTTCAGCACACAGCCTGTGATTGACAGTTCTCAACTCTCTTCACTGAGCTCTGCAGAAAGTAGCTTCAGCACCCCTCCCCCTGCTTTCTGGAAGTTCAGACAAGCTGTATAAATTCTGGACTTTGGCTGTAGAGAAGAGAACACTGCAGCTTGGGAGGAGCTGAGAGGGGTTAGGTTTTTTTGTTTTTTTATATCATTCAATCACCTGAAGTTGTTTGGTTGGGACAATGCCAGGAACAATTAATCTGTTGTCTTTTTCCAGATCTATAGCAAAGGAGCTTGCAGATTGGCTCATCAGCAATAATGTGGTGGAACATATTTTTGGACCAAACCTACACATTGAGGTTGGTGTATTGATTTATTGCATTTACATTTCTTTTCACTTGTGCTTATTGTTTTATATCTAAGCACTTTTTTTTCCAGATCATCAAACAGTGCCAAGTTATCCTAAACTTTCTTGCTGCAGAAGGCCGGCTGAGCACTCAGCACATTGACTGTATCTGGGCAGCTGCACAGGCATGTTACTTTACTTTGTTTTTCATCTTTTACGGTACACAGGAAGATAATTCTTGAACATGTGAGTTAAACTGCTGCCTACAGGAAACACAAATGTTAAACCAGCCTCTGTTTGACTCTCTCCATCTGTCATTCCTCAGTTTTTCTGTCTCTCTTGCTCCTTCTCCTCTAGCTGTTCCCCTAGAATGTACATGTCATATTTTTAGCCCCCAAGTGTATAACTTTACATTTATCAACATTAAACCTAATTACCCATGTAGTTGCCCAATTAAATAGTGCATTGAGTTGGCTTGTAAGTTGAAGACATCATGTAAGGACATAATTCCACTGCATAGTTTGATGTCTTCTGCAAACACTGAAATGCTATTAAATCCTATATAATTTAGAGCACTAAAAGGAGGCATGACAGTTGGAAGTGGGGCTGTACAGGGGCTAGCTCATTGTTTGTTTTTGGTTTGCCAGTTTCCAAACCTCCTGTAGGCGGCAGTATAACCCGCATGTCCAAGAGTATTCTCAATGGATGTTAAGAAAACTTTTACAATAATTCAAAATTTTTATTTTTCAGAGTATTAAAAGATGCACATGTATTTGATATTTAAATTGTTATATTTGGAGTCTTAAAATGCTGAAACTTTAGTTTTTTGTATTACAGTTGAAACATTGTAGTCGCTATATCCATGATCTGTTTCCCTCATTGATTAAAAACTTGGATCCTGTGCCTCTGAGACATCTTCTGAATTTAGTGTCAGGCCTACATCCAGTGCACATACGGAACAGGTAAGTGGAGAAGAAAAACTGGTTTTATTTTAAAACCGTCCTGGCTTATAACCTTGGAGGCCAACTCCAAAAAGTGATGTTTCTTTTGGATTCTATGACACAAAAAAATCTGCATTATGGCCACTAGACGGAGCAGATTATCTTTGGAAATCACTGTCGTCCAACATACAGATAGATAGATATATATATATATATATATATTATAGATAGATATATATATATATATATATATATATATATTTTTTTTTTTTAATAAATAGACCCCTTAGGACTTGTGTGGGCGCCATGTAGAGAATGAAGAGCCACGTGACGGCAGCCCATATAAGTGGATGAATAGGTATCGGTTATATGGACTGCTGGTGAATCCATACAGCAGATGCGTGTCATTTCACTTATATGAGCTGCATGCACACACCCTCAGTGCTAGGACAGAAAAGTCTCTTCGCGCTCTACATGGTTGAGCGCCTGTGTGAATGAGCCCATAGTCTATGACAAAGTATTTTCAGAACACTGTGTATTTGTTAAAGAGATTTTAAAACGTATTTGGTTCTAAAAGTAATAAAGAGAGAAAATGTTCTGTTTTTAAGTGGAGTGAACTTTTAAGGTACAGGTATATCTATAGATATATTTGTTTTTCTTACATTTGGGTACACTAGGGAATGGTTAAAACCCCTGATTTTGTGACTTTGTACTTTTTGCAGTTCTTTTAGTTTTTGTTTAGAAATAGAGGAAATGTTCACTGTCTTTACGTTATTTATCTTCATCCTATTAACTAAAGTGCAGCGCTCATAGAAATATAAATATTAATGGATCACAGTAAGATATACTGAGAAAATGAGCGACATTTTATCGGTATATCTTATTGTGATCCATTAATATTTATATTTCTATGAGCGCTACGCTTTATTTATTTTTTTGAGGATATAGAGGGTTGTCCTTTCGTGTGCTCACTACCTACCTTTATTTTAAATAGGATGAATATGTTTTATTTTTAATCAATCCTGTTATTTTTCTACTATATGATTGGGTATTCGACGTGAACACAAGTTTACATTATAGTTTTTAAAGTGATTGTTCACTTTGCGATGTGAACGGCCCTTCTTATTCTATCAACTTTAGCTTCTGTTCAGAATCTCAGCTCCCCTGCTCAGTTTTCCCAGCGTCAGGTAGTGCTTTCTAGGCCACAGTTCAACCTGTTCTCCTCTGTGCCCCAGCCTGTACTCTGAAGGGTGCTCCTTGCATGCATGCTTCCTGTAGAAAGTACTGCTTTTTGAAATTCAAGGCTGGAGTGTGGTGTGGAACTGGCTTGGACCTGTTGCTTGTATTTCTGTACTACAAATGTTTTTGTTCTCTTTTCTGTTCCAGTTGCATATTAAAATGCCATTGAAAAGGCTTAGTTTGTCTTGCAAATTGCTTCCTTAAAGTTGTAGTGAACTTGTTTTTTTTTCATGTGTGCCTACGGGTAAGCTAATAATAAAGCTTACCTGTAGGTACAAGGAATATATCCTAAACAGCACCGGGGTATGCACACTGTACTCTGAAAGGACAGCATACGAGTATGCCATCCCTTCAGAGAGCTTTGCCTTCATCGTTGCTTCCGTGTGCATGCGGGGGTGTGATGTCATTGCAGCTTGGCCATTCAGACGGTGACAGCGCACCTCTGGGATACTTCATTTTGGGGTAAGTCTTTCACAATGTGCATACGACACATAATAGCACATTATGACTTTGTCTTGCAGGGAGACATTTTTTTATTGTTAATCCGCTTTTGCTACTGCTTTAAAAACTAGTTCAGGTTTCTGGCATGTGTAGAACCGAATCCTTGGTGTAGTTTGGGCTGTGCTTGTGTGTCTTTTGTTCATGAGCCACTAGTATTCTGCTAACAGGAAGTGGTTTCTTTTTATAGACCTTGTATTTGGCTTCAATGTTGATTAAAGCCCTGTGGAACAATGCACTAGCAGCTAAAGCCCAGCTTTCTAAACAGAGCTCCTTTGCATCATTACTGAATACTAATTTACCAATGGGCAACAAGAAAGGTGAGTCTGTGGAAATTGCCACAATTTTTTCTTTAATTCTTTTTCATGAAAATGGATATAAATGTTTATACACTGAGATAATTGAAATATATGGTTCACTGATACTTTCAGAGACTTTTTTTTTTTTCTTGGTTTATAAAAATTTTTTTTTTTTTTGCAAACTTTATTAGTAGCCAGTGGTTTTGTATGATTGTATCCGATGACTAATGCTCTAATATAAGCTTTTAAGTTCAGATATCTACTTCTAAAATAAACCTTGATAAATATGTTTATAGGTTCGCCAGCAGCTAGCCCTCAGAGCAGCGACAACAGTGACACTCACCACAGTGGCGGAAGCGACATAGAAATGGATGAACAAATATTGAACAGATCTAAGCATGTACAGCAGCGACTTTCAGATACAGAGGTACTAAGTCATTTAATATATTTTTTTTTTCTACTAGCTTTATTTACATTTGAATGGACTTTCAGTTGTATTTCTGCAAGACACCAATTCACCATTATATTTGTACATGGGGTCAGCCATATTTAACCATTGCTTAAGCTATCTCCGCAGTCTGCTTAGTAGTGATGCACATTGAATGTGCTTCTCTGCTCCTCTATCTGTTAGTTTTACCAGACTGGCTAGCTGAAAAGGCACTCTGCAGACTTCAAAAACATGGAACACGCCCACAATATTCCTGGTAGCCAGAGACCTATGAACTAGGATGCCTTGGCTTTCGGTCATATAAGATTCTAGGAACCAAAGTTTTTTTTTAGTTTTATATGAAAAAAAACGTATTTGTTATTTTCACATCACAGAACACAGAGGACTTTTTATTCATCGCTACTTGGTTATACTGTCCCCTTCAAACAACCCCACTGTCCCCACTGATAAAATCTATATAAACTGGGTTTCAGCAGCCTGCATTCGGGATTGATGCATAAATCCACCAAACCTCAGTAACACTTCCACAATATTAACATAAACAACATAAAAACAAACTCTGCAAAACTAATAAAAGTCAAACTTGTCTAGTAAAGTCCAAATATAACACCCGTGTGCTTCAACACCATGCAGCAGTGATCTTCATGTGCAAGCCCATCACTCACAATTAAATGGCTTACCAGAGTAAAAACCTCATATACTTAGGTATATTGCACTCAGCATGTATTTTCCTGGGGCCACATCAAGGTACTTCTCTCCCTTTGCCAACCAGATCTAACAAGTGGATCTCCCAAAGACCAGCAGGTCTTGGCTATGACACCCCTGATCCTCTCATCCGTATCAGACATCCCCAATATAGTATAAGGGGCAAGAGAAAATTCTCATAGTGTAGTAAAGCTGTCAGAAGTATTCTGTGCTCACAGGCCTGAACGTATCATCTTTACATAATGTAACATGGGCAAGCTGGAATCCATTTTGTTCTTTGTTCAGAAACCATGAACTTAAATTTGTATACAAATAGAATACAAAGACTCTAACATCAGACATTCTTAGTTTCTTACGACATACTTTCCCAGGATGTAAATTTGGGGGGTATGGTTGTATCGGACAGTCACAAGATAAAGATTGATCATGGTACCAATTTGCAAGATTAATTGAGAAAGCCATGTCTTGGACTTCACAAACAACAAAACTGTTCAAGATGATTTTTTTTCATCAACATCCAGAAAAGAGTTCATCTTAAAATTGACCTTTACTATTGTGGTGGTGTTATTTGACAGGATTATTTTAATCAAAAATGTAAATTAGTATTATTATTATTATTGAATGAGGCGAATACTTGCCTACTTAAGTAATTTGTTTTTTTTATTCTATTCAATATCTCTTGCTTTTAGCAATTGGTATACATTTGGATATTATAAATTATTTTGAGTTTATTATATTACAACATCTATATGCAACAGAAGAGTTTAGATAATTAACAGATTTCATTACAAATGACCTCAGTGAATATCTGTAAGATATAAAGATATACATTTTTCATAATTACAACAAGCTGAACGTTCGAGGTCAACTCTTGACATGGCACAGGAGTTTTTAGGAAAAATCCAAAATTATTGCTAATCCTATATTGCCCCCCTTAGGGTAATTGGGATCATTTAGTAAAGATAATGGACACCTTGAGTGATGTCATAATTAGGCGAGATAAGCTTTGCCCGTCTAGGTTGTTTGGGTGATAAAAGTTAGGAGATATGGAACAAGATGCTTAGTAGATTTGTGATACGTGAGATTGAGAGGGTGAGCTGGGGAGTGGAGAGATAGATCTGGGTGTTATCAGCATAGAGGTATTATTGGAAGCCATTGGAGATTATCAATTGGCCCAGGGAGGAGGTGTAGAGAGAGAAAAGGAGGGGCCCAAGGACAGAGCCTAGGGGTACCCCAATGGACAGTGGAAGAGGAGCAAAGGAGTTGTATGTGACGCTGAAAGTGTGCTGAGAAAGGTAAGAGGAGAACCAGGAGAAAGCAGAGTCGTGGAGTTTGCGGAGGAGGAATAGGTGGTCGACTGTGTCAAAGGCAGTGGAAAGGTCTAGGCGTATGAGTATGGAAGAATGGCCATTGATTTTTATTAATATTTGATAACATTTGCTGGTTTGAATTTGTGACCATTGTTTTTGATTAGATAATTGAACTACTATTTTGATTGATTATCATCACCAATTATATTTTTAATTACCATTTTGCACTGATTTTTATTAACAAATATATTTTTGCACATTATTGTTTTTTATTTCGTCTTCAGATTAGTGCAAATAAAGAACTCGAGTTATCAGTTGATTGGCCCAAACAAACTAAAGTAAAAGTAAACCTGGAGTTACACTTTTTAATTTGGACTTGTCTGTTTTGCAGGCTTCTCTTTTTGAGCTTCTCTAAAAGTTTTCCTTGCTGCTCCTTATGGCAAGGTGGTCTTTTTGGTGGCCTGGGCAGGGATCCCTGCTCTTTTTTTGCCAGTGTCCATTCACTTCAAGGTGGCATCATAACCAAGTACTTGTGATTATGAAGGCCTCTTTTTCCTGCCCGGTAATCTGCTCTTTAAAAAAAAAATTTTCTTTGTTTTATTTTTTAGTTTTTAAATGCATGTGCTTAATTTTTTGCTGTTTTTGAAGACATTTTAACTAACCAAAAATATAACTTTTTTTTTTTTTTTATTGTTTTGGTGGTTTTGGATTATTTGACTACTGTCGCTTGCCACTTGATGATTTGTAGTAATGGCTAGAATACGTTTTAAAATATATTTTGCTTTTTGACATCTGCCTTGAATATTCTTATCTTGGTGGCTGTGCTCTTTTAACTGAACCCTGAGATTTCACAGGCCTGCAGTGACATTTTCATGTGTTCGGTTAGCTAGTATTGAGTCCACTGATGGTCACGCTGAAACAACCACAGCTGTGTTCCAGTAAGTGCAGACATTTTTTTGCTTAAAGTGTAGGTTCACTTTTTCTGAAAAAAAAACCCTCCACACCCCCACATGGCCAGAACTCTAGCAATGCACAATAAAAATTTACACGTATTCATGGTACATTGTTATTAAATGTGAATTTATTATTTCGGAGGTGAGATACAATTTTTGAGATCAACTTGGTAAATGTGAAATGTGTCCTAGAGCTGTTTTAAAACTGGTAAATAAAATTACCAATTGGAATCACAGAAATATATATAAAATAGTACAAATATAAAGTATACAAACAACTTCCGTTTTCGTACTATACTAATATTCTTTTCATATTCTTACTGTACTCTTCTGTTCATAGTTCATTTCTGATCATGGTTCAAAACCCATGTAAGCCTAACCTGTTACAGTTAAATACTTACTGGCAGCCTGTGTGCTACATTGCTGCCATGTTGCTGATCTGCAAAACCCAAAAGGGGTGAGGTTTCAACTCTAGGGTCACTAGAAAGGGTTCGTATATATGCCTCCTTCCTTTTCATGATGGGCTTATTTGACTTTTGACCTTGCGGTGACAGGGTCTTTTTAAGCAGTTGTGTATGCCTAAATATCACTGCACATTTCGGTAATCTACAGATTATGATCACACTGTCCAGTGCTTACCATGATCTTAGAAACTTGGCCAAATGCACCATATTCTTTCAACAACATCTGTGTCAGGACTCTTATTGACTGTAACTCATAAATGCCTGCACAAGGTACTTTAAAAAACAAAGTCATACAGCAGTAAAATAAATGTGTGGGACTTCTGTTGGGCTTGAATATTTTCCTGTATTTTATTAAAAAAAACTTTGAACAATTTAAATAACGTTTTTCCCGAACACATTCCCTTTAAACAAAATGCATGTTTAATCAGTAAAAATAAAATTTCTCATCCATTGGAGGAACACAGGAGGTCTTTTTCAGTTTATACTACTTCCTACAGGAGAGTTGGACCCTGGCAAACAAACTGGAGGCCAGCACAAAATAATCCTTCCTGCTTACAATGTTCCTCATTTCTCTAGGAGGATGGATGTCTTTTCTTCAGCTTTGCTTTTCTTCAGTTTTCCATTTTCTTCAGTCAAGACTCTTTTCTGCATCGCTGCTATTTTGGTCACTATGATTGTTGGTTTCTGACGTTGCTCGTCCTAAGTGGATCTTTTGCTCATAGTGTGTAGCACAGGTTGACTAGAGCCCTGCCCTCCAGCTGTAATGGTCTGCTGGAAGTATTTCGGCTTTTCTCCCAAACTGGACTTCTGTCAATACATAGGCACAGAGCAGTCTGGTTAAAGTGGTCCTTGAGGGATGATTCTTCTGACTGCTCTTGATATTACCAAGGATGTCACCGAATGCAAAACTTCCCAACTTTCCCAGTGTGAGATGTCTAGGTCTGCACTTTTAGCCCATATCCATTATATAACTATAGCTTGAATATGTTTTGGTAAATACCTGAAAAAATCTAAAATTGTGCCTGTATCCAAATATATATGGACCTAAATGTATATCCTACATTGCTCACAACCCTACAGTTTCCCTTGCGTTATTCTGGAACTTGGGTTACAGCCTAGTCCACGGCCCTCATGCTTTACCCCTTTTTCCTCCACTTCTCTCTGCCATTCTCATTTTACCTGTTCCTTGCTTCTGCCTTTGTTGTCTTCCATGGACGTCCATGCCGCTTTATGTTTCTGAGCTCACCAGTGTGTTCTTCTTTCCTCAGAATGTACCAAACTGTTGATTTGGCCACTTCTAATGTTGTTGTGATCTCTCTGATGGATTTATTTTGTTTTTGAAGCCTTACAATGGCCTGTTTCACTTGCATGGATAGCTCCTTTGAAAGCATGATGTAGGTTCAAAGCAATAGATTCCAAATACCACACTTAGAATCAACTCCAGACCTTTTACCTGCTTAATTGATGAAGAAATAACGAAGGAGTAGCCCACACCTGGCCATGAAACCACTTTTGATTCAATTGTCCAATTACTTTTGGTCCCTTGA